ATGATGCATGGAGGGGATTGGAACCATGGCAATGAGATGATATACGATGGCATGAATGTAAAATTAAAGTTCTCTCATGTAAACTACCATATAATTCACAATAAAACATAAAAAAAAAAAAAATACAATGAACCAAGTTCCTAATTCCATCAACTGTGGCCCACCTCACATAATGAATATATAACATGTCAATATTAAAAGTTCTTTTAGAGGTTGATTGCAGCAACCTCTTAAGACTTTTAGAGGGTTATTTGGGTCTTTAATAGAGTGTGATTAAATTGAATTGGAGCATGAATATCACTTACAAGGGCAATCTTTTGTCCTTCATATTTTCTTCAAGAATTGCACAGATGGTAAACTGGCTGGTTGACCAACCCCTGGGATACACTACCTGACTTAGCCCTATTGCCCACTTCCCAACTAGTTCTAAATTTTTTCCTAGTATAGGGGGCACAGGGTAAGGTCCTAAGTAACCTTACCAACTCTTTAATCTGCAGGCCCCAAATCCAATCCCAGAAAGCCAATCTTCACCCCTAACAAAGCCAGTGTGGCCTCCTCAGGCCAAGTGAGGGAAGCCTTCATCTAGGTGTTTGTCCTCCGGTTCTATATTGTATCTGTAAGCGCAGGACCCACAAACTACTATCCAGCATGTAAGCTGAGGCTGAGCTACTCTTTAACTAAATGAGGCATCTCCTCAGCTCATGAAGAGATGGCACAGATCCTCCTGAAAAGGAATGGATTAAGGACTAGGAAAGAGAGGGAAAAGAAGAGCAAAGGTAGGAATCTGGCAGTTGTGAGTTTGAGTCCTGGCTCAGCCTCTTAGCAGCTCTGTGACTTTGGGGAAGTTATTTGACCTCTCGGGCTTTTTTTTTGTTTTGTTTTATAAAACTGCCTCATAGATTGTTTTGATGAGATAATACACATAAAATGTTTAGAACAAAGTCCAGCATATAGTAAATACCATGTCAGTTACCATGAAGGAGATAAAACATCAGGAGAAGTAGGGTCATTGGGGAATGAGGCAGAAGGGGACTTAGAATAAGCAAAGTTTGCAGTAAATAGAAAAGAACTGGCACCAAATAGAGGGGAAAGTGAAGGACAGAGATTGTAAGACAACTTTTCCTAAACAAATATCCCAGAGCAAGAACAGGGTTGAGAAAATCATTTAGTGACTTGGTTTTCATAGCTCTTGGAACATGCCAAGGTTTTCATATCAGGCATTCCAGAAAATTCCATTAAAACTCATTTCAGAACTAAGCACTTACCATACCCTTCTTCCCTTTAATTTTCCAAAGAATTTGAGGCTCCTTTGCTTAGTGAACCATAACCTTATAGGACTTGCAGCTCATTCAGCTTTAATCCTTTGAACAAACAGGTGAGGAGAAAAGGAGAAAACCTGAGCCCAGGTGCATTCTCCTCTTTCCTCTACTGTTGGGTTCCCCTCCTCTGGTCATGAGTGAGTTAGCACAGCTGGTGTCTGAAATCAGAGCTGTGGTCAGGTGATTGAACCCAAACTGTGCAATGGGCCTTCTTCCTTCTGCCTTGATGTGTGACTTCCTTGTCTAATGAGGGAAGACACACCTCTCCATTCAGAGAAGGGGTGGACTAAGCAGAAAGGCACCTACCTGGGCATTCTTCATTGCTGCAGATCCACAGGCTATTTCGACAAATGCTGTTGGGGAGAGAAGCACATATCATTGGTGGTTCTAATATTTCTTGCTCCAGAATTGCCTGCAAGTCAATTCTGACTCATGGTGACCCCATGTGTTACAGAGTAGAACTGCCCTGTATGATTGTCTTGGCTGTCCTCTTTATGGGGGCAGGTTGCCAGGCCTTTCTTCCACTGTACTATAGTGGGTGAGTTTAAAATGCCAACCTTCAGTTTCACACTCAAGTGCAAACTACTGGCACCACAAAGTTCTCTGTAAAATCTGCCCAGGCACTAAAAAGTCAAACTTCTATCCCCACACTTAGCCAATAGAAGAGAACAGGGAGGGAGAAGTTCAAAGGAGAAATGCTTAGAACCATGTTGGGCAGCCAACAAAGAGCTACAGAAGGCGGAGTAAGTGCTGAAGCCTGCCCAGCAGGGAAAGACAGGAAAGGGAAGAGGGCTGGAGATGAAACAAGAAGTTACTTCCCAGAGTGCACAGAGGGCAGACAATGCTACCCAGAGCAAATATCTAAAGGGACTTCTTGAGAAGGTGACTTGAGCTAAGCATGACAGGAGCACAGGCTCTTAGTCAGTCTGCATGTATTCCTACTGGGTACTGCCACTTCCTAAAAACAGAAAAACAAAAGAAAAAAAAACACAAAACAGTTGCCATCAGGTTGATTCTGACTCACAGCGGGCAACCCCTGTGTACCAGAGTAGAAATGTGCTACATAGAGTTTTCAGTGGCTGATGATTTTGGAAACAGATTACCAAGATTGTCTTCCAAGAAACCTCTGGGTGAACTTGAACTCCCACTGCTCAGTTAGCAGCTGAGTACATTAACCATTTGCACCACTAAGGGATTCCCTGATGTTAGCTGCCAACAAGTGGACACCTAACTTATGGCAATCCCATATGCAACAGTCGGAATCAGACCAATGGCAGAGTTTTGGAAGTAGATCACCAGTACTTTCTTCTTAGTGGGTCTTACTCTGGAAGTTCTGCTGAAGCCTGCATCATAGCAACACACATATGTCCAGTGACAGATGCTTACTGCCTGTGCTTGAGAAGAATTGGCTGGGAATTAAACCCAGGTTTCCCAAATTGTGATAGTTTAATTTCTGTGTCAACTTGCCTGGGCCAGGATTCTCATGCTATGGGTCGGAACCGACTCGACGGCACTTAGCAACAACAACATTGTTGTTGATAAGTGCTGTTGAGCCAATTCTGACTCATAGCAACCCTGCATGGGAATTCCAAGGAGCAGCTGGTGATTTTGAACTGCCAACCTTGCAGTAAGCTGTCCAGTGCTTATCCAACAGTGCCACATCACTTCCGTGATGAGATCTAATATGATGCAATCATCCCGGTGATACGATCTGATGTGATCAGCTCTGATCTGATGCAATTATCCTGTGTGTTGTACATCCTCACTTCTATGACGTTAATGAGGCTAGATGCAATCTGCAGGATTAGGCTGTATCTTGAGTCTATCTCTTTTAAGATGTAAGAAGAGAGAGAAGTGAGCACAGAGAGAGGGACCCACTATCACCAAAAAAGAAGAGCCAGGAGCAGAGTGCGTCCTTTGGACCTGGGATCCCTGCAGTGTTAAGCTTCTGGGTCCTAGCACTCATCCTGTGGTGACTTCTCCAGTTCCAGAATGCATAGTTAGAAAAGACATACTCAGCAACTGGCAGAATCCCCTTACTGGATCTCTAAAATGTGGAATAAGTACTATTATGGTAAGAAAAGCTAAGTGGAAACTATTAGAACAGCCTCTATCTATGAAAATAGTAAGCCCAAAGCAATACCGCATTCCTGGAGGGATTGCAGAGATCAGTGCCGCAATCAAGAACTTGAGGGATCAGGGCTGGTGACTCCCACCCATCCCGATTTAACTCGTCTATCTGGTAGCATAGTGGTTACGAATTGGGCTGCTAACCTCAAGGTCAGCAGTTCGAAACTACCAGCTGTTCCACCGGAGAAAGATGAGGCATTCTGCTCCTATAAAGATTTACAGCCTTGCAAACCCTGTACAGGGTCGCTATGAATCAGAACTGACTCCATGGCACACCACTACCACCACCATCTGGCTTGTGCAAAAAACAGATGGATCTTGGAGAAGGACAGTGGATTATCGTTAACTAGGAGGTGACTCCAACTGCAGCTCCAGTTCCAGATGTTGTTTCCTTGCTTGAGCAAATTAATACATCTCCTGGTACCTGGTATGCAGTTATTGATTTGGGCCAGTTCCTTGTTCTCAATTCCATTTTTAAAGGATCACCAGTAATTTGCCTTCAATCAGCAAGGTCAACAATATAGCTTCACTGTTCTACAGAAAGCCCTGTCATCATTTAGTCCACAAAGCCCTTGATCACCTTTCTCTGAAAGAAGACAATCACACTGGTCCACTACTTTGATGTATTATGCTGATTGGACCTAGTAAGGAAGAAGTATCAATGACTCTAGACTTGTTTAAATATCTACATGTTGTTGTTGTTAAGTGCTGTTGAGTCCATTACAACCCATAGCAACCCTGTATAGGGTTTCCAAGGAGCGGCTGGTGAGCTTGAACCCCCAACCTTGCAGTTCAAACTGATTTCGCAGTCCAGCACATTAGCCCACAGTACCCCACCAGGACTCCCATCTGCATGTTATGAGATGGGAAATTAACCTGATAAAATTCAGGCATCTTCCACCTCAATGAAATTTCTAAGGGTTCAGTGGTGTGGTACATGTAGAGACAGTCCTACTAAAGTGAATGATAATTATTGTATTTGGCCCCTCCCACAACTAAAAGAGAGGCATAATGTTTGGTAGGCCTCTTTAGATTTGGGAAGTAACATATTCCTCATTTAGGTGTGCTACTCTGGCCTCTTTATCAAAGTGACTTGAAAAGTTGCTAATTTTGAGTGGGGCTCAGACCAAGAGAAGGCTCTACAACAGGTTCAGCCTGCCATGCAAGCCACTCTGCAACTTGGATCATATGACCAGCAGATCTAATGGTGCTTAAAGTGTCAGTGGCAGATAAAGTTGCAATTTGGAGTCTTTGGCAAGCCCCTATTGGTTGATCAGAGTAAGACCCTTAGGATATTGGAGCAAAGCTATCATCCTTTACAGATAGCTACTCTCCTTTTGAGAAGCACCTTTTGGCTTGTTAGTGGTCCTTAGGAGAGATGGAATACCTAACCATGAACCACCAACTCACAATGTGACCAGAGACACTTAATATGAACTGGGTGTCGTCAGATCCACAGAGTTATAAAGTTAGATGTGCACAGCAGGATGTCATCATTGAATGGAAATATACCATATTTAAGATATGCACAAGTAAGCTGCATAAAAAAGTGGTCCAAATGTCCACGGTCTCCACTCCTGTCACATTACTTTCCTTCCCCCAGGCTGCACCATGGCCTCATGGGAGATCCTTAGGATCAGTTGTGTGAGGAAGAGACAATGTGTGGTTGGTTTATAGATGGTTCTGTATGACATGGAAACACCACTTGAAAGAGGATGGCAGTAGCACTACAGCCCCTGTCTGGGACTTCCCTGAAGGACAGTCAGTGGTAAAGGGAAATCCTCCCAATGGGCAGTGTGCCTGGTAGTTCATTTTGCTTGGAAGGAGAAATGGCTTTATGTGCAACTGTATACTGACTCATTGGCTGAGAGGTGAATGGCAAATGGCCAGGGGCTTGGAAGGACCATGATTAAAACAGTGGTGACAAGGGGGCATGGGGAAGAGGTAGAGGCATGTGGACAGACCTCTCTGGAGGGACAAAAAAAGTAAAGATCTTTGTGCCTTATGTGGGTGGGTTACCTCTGCAGAAGAAGATTTTAACAATGAAGAGGACAGAATGATACATTCTGTGGAAATCAATCATTCTCTTACCCCTCTCACTCCTATCATTGCCCAATGGGCTCATGCACAAAGGAACAGAGTTTATGCATGGGCTCAGCAGCATGGATGTCCACTCACCAAGGACAGACACTGCTGAGTGCCCAACCTTCCAGCAGAACAAATCAACACTAAGTCTACAGTATGGAACCATTCTTTGGGAGACCAGCCAGCAACCTGGTGGCAGGCTGATTGCACTGGATCACTTCCATCATGGAAAGGCCAGTGTTTTGTTCTTACTGGAATAGACACTTACTCTAGATATTGAGATTGGTCTTCCCTGTATGCAATGCTTCTGCCCAAACTATCAGTTATGGACTTACATAATCCCTTATCCACTATTATGATATCCCAAATAGCACTGCTTTAGATTAAGGGACTTACTTCATAGCAAATGAAATTCAGCAACGGGTCCTTGCTCATGTAACTCACTGGTCTTACCATGTTCCTCATCATCCTGAAGTAGCTAACTTGATTGAACAATGGAATGGTCTTCTAAAGACACAATTATGGTGCCAATTAGGTGGCAATACCTCGCAGGTTGGGACAATGTTCTCCAGGAGGATATATGTATTCTAAATCAGCATTCAATATATGATCCTGTTTCTCTAGTAGACAGGATTTACAGGTCTAGGAACCAAGAGGGGCAAATGGAAGTGGCACTACTCACTATTACTCCTAGTGACCCACTAGCAAAAGTTTTGCTTCTTGTCCCTGCAATCCTATGCTCTTCAGGTTTGGACGTTTCCACTCCAAAGAGAGGAATTCTCCCACCTGAAGACACAACACTGATTCCGTTGAACTGTAAGTTAAGAATGCTCCCTGGAAACTTTGGGCTCCTCATGCCTCTGGATCAACAGGCAAAGAAGGGAGATACTGTATTGAGTGGTGTGAATGATCCTGATTACCAAGGACAAATAAGAGTGACAGACATTGCATAATTGATATAAAGAAGAATACGTGTGGAATCCAGGAGATGCCTTAACATCATGCCCTATGATTAAAACCAATGGTAAACTACAGCAACCAGTTCTGACATGACTACTAATGGTTCAGACCCTTCAGGAATGAAGGTTTTGGTTATCCCACCAGGAAAAGACCTATAACCAGCTGAGGTGTTTGCTGAGCACAAAGGAGTTCGGAATGGGAGGTGGAAGAAGGTAGTAGCTGGCCACATGACTAGTTGCATAAATGAGGACTGTAATTGTTACGAGTATTTTTCCCTTGTATGTATACATTAAATATTTTGTATCACTTATAAAATAAAAGCTGTAAATGGGGCTCATGTGCTTTCTGTTGTATGTATGTTAGTTGTATCATACTAGGTACAAGAAAGACTTTACAGGAGTCTTAGTGTGGCCCGGTAGGATAAGCGCTGAGCTGCTAACCACTAGGTCAGTGGTTCATACTCACCAGCTGCTCCTAGGAAACCTATCCAGGGTTGCTATGAGTTGGAACTGACTCGATGGCACTTAACAACAACAACATGACTTTATAACTATCTTTATCTAGAGATCATGTGTAGCTTAAGGAGAGATATACAGATGTCAAGTTGACAATAGGTAGACTATGATTGGGTTTTGTGTCTATTTGACTGGGCCTAGATTCTCAGTGATTTGGCAGTTGAGATGTAGTTATCCCCCAGGACAAGATCTAATATGATGTAATCAGCTCTATGATGAGGTCTGCTATGAGCAACCAATCAATTGAAAGGAAGCTTCCTTAGGACTGTGGCCTGTTTCCAATAGATTAGACACTCAGGCAAGGCTAGTTTGCTCTCTGTTGAGTGTGGATCTTGTATCTGGTTTGTCCTCTGATCTCCACTTCTTTGAACTTGAGCCAGTGGCCTGCTCTATTACCTACCAATCCTAGGAGTCATCAGCAGACTACCTTCTTACCTGCTGGACCTATCTGCCTGCCTGCTGTTTGACTGCTGCTCTTGGTTCATCAGCCTTGAAGGTATGTCCTCCAGTCTGACATCTGACCCACAGACTTAGGACTTACCAACTTGTACAAGCGGGTGAGCCATTTCCAGGATATAAACCTCTCTTTATATATGCATATATAAGCTTCAGTGGTTTTGCTTCTCTAGAAAATGCACCCTAAGATACAAATTGAAGATGGGAATTCAACCACTAAATCTCTAGGAACTCCCTATTGTTGTTGTTCGGTATCACATAGTAAATGCCAACTCATAGCCACCCCATATTACAAAGCAGAAATGCCCCTCCAAGGTTTTCCTAACTGCAGTCTCTACAGAAATAGATTGTTCAGTCTTTTTCCTTTGGAGCCACTGGGTGGATCAAAACCACCAACCTTTTGGTTAGCAGTCAACCTCTTAACTACTGTACCACTAACACCTATTATCTATTGCATAGTCCCTCTTCAGAGAGAGACAATCATAGTTTAGGTCAGGGGGAGTTAGAGCAATGGTATGCCAATAAATGATCCTTCCCTTCTTGACTGCCCCCTCCTCTAGGCATAATAAAATCCTTGCTTTTTCATTGTTGTGCTTTACCAACCCCAAATCTCAATCACCTATAAAATATAAGATATAAATGGGGTTAGTGTGTTTTCAGTTGTATGCATGCTAGTTGTATCATATTAGGTGTGAGTAAGACTTTACATGAGTAAAGTCCCACCTGCAGCCACCCCAGTATCCCCTCCCAAAGCCTCTGGTCAGCTCTCCCAGGCCACACTGTGTCACAATTACCAGGTGTTGCAGTCTTGTGAGAGGGTGGAACCTGGAGGATACCGCTTCCCCGAATGCACACAGGAACATTCTGCACGCTCCACACAGTGTCCTTCATCAAGGAACTGACCCTCTGGGTTCAAAGACAAAGGTATTAACACCAAAGCAAAGGTCTTAACATTATCATCATTACACAGCTCACAAATATACAGTCCTTATGGACAGTCAGTTTAGGGCTTCTTCCAGGAAGCTCACCTTATGAGGAAGAAGAATGATTCATGCCTATTCTGCAAATAACAAAATTTGGAAAAGTTTTGTTTGAGGTCATCCAATAGGGAAGTCATGAGTCTAAACTTGGGGTTTCTTCTACAACACTCAGAGAACTTTAACATTGGTGCAGAATGGGAAAAGGGTGGAGGTGGAGGGGTTAAGATTCTCCATTCTACACTTGAAGAAATAGGGGAAAGAGTTTTGTTCACAAGTCATGGGACCAAACACATAGAACTCACTCTCAATAATTAAACAGGGTTTTTCACCAAAGTTCACAAAGTCTCTCTTGAGAAAGACTTTCTAGTGCAAAGCTCTTTTTCAGCTGAGTTCACATGGCAAACCCGAGAAACATTTTTAAATATCTCTCCCAGATTGGTTCCTTGCCACCTAACTAGAAAAACAAAACTGTAGCTCAGATTGGGCCACGTGCTGCCCAAACAAAGTCACTGTTGCAGCCCAGACCATCCTTCTAGTTCCCTAGACAGAAGTGCTTTCATGGATACAGTACAACAGGAAAGCATAAATTAAAAACAAATACCAGCTCAATCCCGATCACTATGTACAAAGACTTTTAAAAAAATAAATAGAAGCCCTCTGATTTCAGTAGTGGGGAACAAACACAAATGGCCTTCATCTCGCCTCTCAAAGCCAAGGGCACTGGCAAGGTCTTGAGTTTGTCAATAAAGTAAGTTTATTACCAGGACAGCTGCAGCCATCCACGCATTGCTCCTGACACACTTCATTGATGTGCAAGCTGTGGCAGGTTCTGGTACAAGGGGACACACACTCCTTATACTCCATGCCAGCTGGGCACGCCAGTCCTAAAGCAGAAAACCAAAGTAATTTTCATTTCCAGTGCAGCATCCTATAAGCCATGCCATATTTGAAGTCTCCTTGTCCACTTTGGCTGCTATAGATAAGGGCCATCTCCACCCCAATGGTAACCTAACCCCTTGAAGGCCTCCCCACTGCCCAGCCAACCCTAATCTGAAGGACTGCCTTCCCTTTTATAAGGTCCTGGCTAGGACTCATCAAGGTCATCTAGGCCCATCCCCTGCTTGTTTGGTCATCTATCTCCCATGAACAATGTGACATTGCTTTGCCCCTTTTAACTAAAACGTAAGTTAAGAACAAACTACCTTATGCTGAAAATAATAAAAGATTGTATGGCACCAAGCAATGGTGCCCTCCATCACATCCCCCCTCTGAAATTTCCTTCCTATTCTCCATGAAATCAATCCTAATCTAATACCCTACCTAGCATGCCTACTATCTCTGCATGAGTGATATTCATTCTGTGTTTATTTCTCCTTTGCTGCAAGACTACATCCAAAGTCCTGTCACCTAAGTGTCTAGTTATTCTCACCCACTGAACCCTCTACTCTGGGCCAAAGACTGAGTCTTCTCCATTCTCTCTACCTCATGGCCAACTAATGCTTTGGCAGATTGAAACATCAGGCCATATCAAAGCTCTTTTCTGAGCTTCATGACACAAATTGCCCCAAGCACCTTCTCCTCCAAGAGTCATCAAGTATCTCCTCCACCCAACCTTCAAAGACAAAAAAAAAAAAAAACAATGGCCAATCCAAGTTTTTCCTTACAAAGGAGGAACCAACTAATATTCACCTTTCTCACATCCACACAGCCAAGATGGAAAGCTTTCATTTATATACTGTTTGCTGTAAACTGAAAATCATGTGTGCAGTGTAAATATTTTGCCTCCTTCACTGTCTCTATCAGTCTGTATTATCTGTGTAATTATTCCAAACTGGTTGTCCACCTGCACAGCTTTAGATCAGTGAAAGGTCTTGGGTGAGAGGGGGTTACTCTCAAGATGACCCGAGAAGGCCCTACTTAATCACAATTAATTTGAGGATGGTGACAATGATTAGGGACCCCGGAGATTAGAAGATCAAAAAGACGGGAGCCATGAGGTGAAGTGGAAAGAATGTGTTCAGCCTGGAGGTGAGATGGCTGATTTAGTATAAGAGAAGAACGTAATAAAAGCCTTCCTGTCTCTGTACGATCTTCACGTGGATAGGGTCAACGCCCAACGCCTTGTGAATTCAGAAGGCTGACGGTGAAGATAGCAACTGAAATTGCAACTGCTGTGATGTTGCTTAGAAGCAGAGACCATTTTGCAAGTCAGGGAATGACGCTCCTGAGGCAATTCACGGGGAATATGGAGGCATGATGAGAGAAGAGAGGCAGAAGAACCAGCATTGAAAAGGCCTCTCAAGGCCAAGAGACTCCACCTAGACCGGAGCCTTTGAGGAACTGGGGTTAGGAACTTGGGGGTGTGGCAGAAGTAAAACAATCTCGATGCAAGCCTTCCGCCTCTGAAGTCTCACCACACTAGGGACCACACTCCTGGCACAGTTAAGTCATCCCCCACTGCCACAAGTGGGGGATGACTTAACTTGTCCCAGCAACTTCGTTCTCCCCAGCCAGGGAGCAGGCCCACGAACTAGCGACAGTCGGTGGGGAGCTGACTTACGGCAGGTGCTGTGCTCAGTCCAGCCGTACAGCACGACGCCCTGGTGCGCGCAGGCTCGGGCGTACTCCAGGAGTGCAGAGCAGGGGCAATCGCTGCCTTGCGTGCACGTGCATAGGCTGTTCTCGCACAGGGCCACGAAAGGCTCGGGATCCACAGACGGGTGGCAGCGGGTGAACGCAGAGGCCTTCTTCAGAAGCTGACACTGCTCCCACAGGCCCTGTGGAACAAAATTGTATCCTCAGCGAAGGTGGTGCCATGGGGTCACGGAGCTTCTGAGTGTCCTGTTAGCATCTCCGTGAACTTGTGGCAGCGGGTGATGACTTAACTGTGCCAGGATAACCAAGGATGCTCCCTCAGGACACAGACTGCCTTTTTTAAATTCACCACTGCCCCTGGTACCCAGTTGTTGTTAAGTGCCAGTGCCAGTGCCGTACAGTCAGTTTCGACTCATAGTGTGACCCAGTATAGGGTTCCTGAAAAGCGGCTGGTGGGTTTGAACCGTGGGATCCAATGCTTATCCTACATTGCCGCACAGGAACACCTGGTACCCAATAAATTCTTATGAACATTGTCAATCAACCCATCAGTGAAATGATGCTATGTGAAGTAGATGTAGACTAAGGTTACATCCTGGACTGCGCCCTGGAAATGCAGAGTCTCAGGTCCCTGAACCGCTATAGCAGGCACTGATCTAGGGAGGGGAAGGAGAGAGACAATACAGCTGAAGGAGCACTGAACTTGGGACTGGCCACCAGACCTGACTTCAGACTCCAGTGATGCGTTTCACCACGGGTTTTGTAATATAATAGTCCCCTCCCTTTCTTCAAGGAGCTCTGGTAGCGTAGTGGTTACGAGTCTGGCTGCTAACCTCAAGGTCAACAGTTCAAACCTACCAGCTGTTCCGTGGGAGAATGATGAAGCTTTCTGCTCACGTAAAGATTTACAGCCTCAGAAACCCTGTACAGGGTTGCTATGAGTCGGAACCGACTCCACGGCACATAACCACCACCCTCCCCTTCCTAGAAGACCTGGATCGTTCCTATAAATGAGAGAGTGGGACAAGATTCTCTGGCCTTAATGCAGTAAGTTGGAGATGTAGGTTCATTTAGTGATATGTTTTTTCAGACATTCCTCACGTGATTCCTATGTTTATCCAGTTCTCTTTAGCAAAAACATGCTAAGATTACACAAAATGTCCCTGAGATACTCTGCAAGGCAATGGCCATTGGTAGGTTTATCACTGCGTTGATTTCCTCAACCTAAGAACAAACGGCAGGATCAGAACTTTAGTCATTTGTTACTCCTGCTAATTCTTTCATAAAAATACTCCTATATGTTTTATTAATAATCACCTGTATGTACTCTGTGTTAATGATCCTCAGTACCTTTTTATTTTCACAATTTAATATCTATGAAGTTGAGGTGCATCTTACACTGAGAGTATCTTAATTTTTACTTATTTGTTGAGAATATAAACAGCAGAACACATACCAGTTTGACAGTTTTTACACATACAATTCTCACCTCCCTTTTCCAAGTTTTTCCTCCCCCATTAACATACACATTCTGACCCCGAAGTTTCCTGATAGCATCATAATTTGATTGGCAGTTTTTTTCTTTCTTAGTGGTACAGAGAATAATATATCTTAGAATCAACAAGATCTTAGATTTGACACAATACAGTACAAGGGGACTTCAAAAAGTTTGTGAATGAAAACATCATGCAATTTTTCCACAAACTTTTTGATGCCCCTTGTATTATTGATAGAAACAATGGGAGGGGGATGATTTATATAATTTCTTACATATGCATGCTTTCCTGGAAGTCAGCAGTTACTGAAAAGTCCTAACTTGCCTCTAAAAAAAAGAAGTACAAAAGTATCTAAATGGAGGAGCTAAATCCTAAAGGATCACCAGAGCAAATCGCTGTTCCTAAAGGGGGAATAAAATAGGTAAAGAACCTTTCAGTTTTAAGAAACGGGAAATCCAATCTGCTCCACTTGGACAAGTCCACATAAATTGAGAACCAGCTCCACAAGCTTGCATTTTGCAGCACCATTGAAAGCAGATGACTAGATTCTGACATGGTGCTACTCATCACTCACAGGAACCATCCCAGCAGTACCAGCCCTGGCCTTCCCACGGCTTCACTAAGCTGGGCACCAAGGGCAGACTACCACAGCTGCTCCCCGATCACAGCAGACCCTGGCTGTGGCCCAGCCAGACTGAATGTGGCTGGTTCCTGGTGAGCTGCAAAACTGCAGCAAGTGTGCTTGTTGGTGAGGACGATTAGCAACTGTCCCTTTCAGGATCCATTGCTGACCCCAGCACTCCCTCTTCGGCCCACCCTCTGACTTCCCTCTGGTCAGATCAGAATCTCTGTACCCACAGAGGCTTCCTGAGGAGGAAAAGCAACTCGGCTACTTCCTGATGGTGGGGACTGAGGCAAATCCCCTTCTCTGGACAAGGGTATCCTTACATTAAATGGGAATAATAGTAATCATACTATTTTATGCAGTTGGCTGGCACATAACAGGTAATTTATAGATGACGATTACTGACCTGTCTTGTAACCTGTCTGTGATTTCATTTATCATTCCACTTGCCACCATGAGCATTTTGCACAAGGGGAAATGGAGTTTTCATCATCTTCCACCTGCCAGCTGTGTAACCTTGGACTTAACCCCTCCTCCTCAGCAAAATTGGGTTAATAATAGTTCCCTGTCTGATAAGATTTTAGTGAAGATGGAAGGAAACATTGAATGTACAAGGTTTGATCCAATACATGTTGTGGTTGTTGTTAAGTGCTTTTGAGTTGGTTCCGACCCATAACGACCCTGTATAGGGTTTCCAAGGAGCAACTGGTGAGTCTGAACCACCGACTTTGTGGTTCAAACCAACTTTGCAGTCCGGTGCATTAGCCCACACTGCCACACAAGGACTCTGATCCAATACATGGTGACCCCATATTTTAATCAGCACTGCTATTCTGGCCACCAGAGACCCCTTTCACCTTTCCTGCTGCCATTAGGCTTATCCTAAGATTCCCCAACAGGACAGAACAACACCCGTGTCCATCTCCCCTGGCTATACAAAGATGAATGCTTGCCATGACGACAGGATCACTTCTCTTATATCTTGGGTTCTCCATGGTGAACAGAAAGACTGTTTTGGTTAAACTTTTGTTTGGAACACTCACTCTTTAAGAACAAAGTACAGAAGGGACTCTCTCTTCCTTATAAAACGTTTGAGAGCCTCTGTTCTCAATGGCAATTTGAAGCTAAGAAAGGGAGACTGAGGCCTGTGGCTATTCCTATTCCTTTCCATTCTGCCACACCCACTGCCCCATCAGAAATGCCACTCAGGAAGTGAGCTCACTGGACAGCCAAAGGACAACTAAGGATATCTCAGAAAGAGGGCCAGTTGCCCAGACTCTTACCTGCCTCCTTCCCCATCCACAACTTAGAACTAGAGGAAACTCAGAAAGGTAACTCTGTGGGGGTTTTCTAGTGATCGCTGCCATACCTTGGGAAGTAGGGCAGGGACTTGGAGGAGTCCCCACACCACAAAGTACATCCTGTAGGGACAGGGACCAGGAGCCAGACATATTTTACCTAACGGGACACAGAATTGGGCCAAGAAATGAAGGAACCCCAGGAGTCCAAGCACCCCACCCCTTCCAGAGAACTGATGGGGAGCGTCAGCATGGCTCATCTCCAGCTGGCCCCAGTTAGCCTTTTCCCCCACTCAAAGGAAAATGGGAACAGTACTCCAGCACATTTCCTGGGAAGTCCCTTGAGGTATAAAATGTTTTACAGAAAATCTTAGCACGAAGGGTGTTTTCTGATTACTTTGCCGCAGGATCAAAGTGGATTTCTGCAAAAACAGTCACCTCCCTCTTAGAACAATTTCCTTGGCCTCCCATGTGTACCTGGAATCTGACAAGGGTTCTTCTCTCATCTGAAACTAAAGGAAAATCTGTCATCATACCTTGTCTTCCAGTCTTCCTCAGGTCAGCCCAGCCTGGGCTCCATCTCCCAGACTGACCAGAGTCTGGCAGCCAGCAGGACTTGCAGACATCCCCCCAGCACCTGTAGCAGGCCTGCCCTCACCCAGCATTCCCACCATACCTCTCTTGCTGTGTTACAGCTTCAATCCAGTTCGGCAGCCCTGCCAGGCCAGGCCAGGTCCTGAGATAAGACATCTCTGCTAAGTCTAATATGGCGTCTACCTCTTGTGCCGTCAGACTCACAGTAGAGACATTAACAGGGGGACAGTGACCAAAAGCAGTCACTCAACAAGCATTTACTGAGTGCTTCTATGTCCCAGCAGTGTGTATAAATGAATTTAGAATGGAGAGTTAACTGTGTCCTCACCCTGCTTATAGGACAATGTCCAAGCTCAGTTGTTGTTAAGTACCATGGAGTCAATTCCGACACATAGTGACCCTGCATAGGGTTTCCGAGGCTGCAAATCTTTACAGGAGCAGAAAGCCTCATCCTTCTCCCGCAGAACAGCTAGTAGTTTCAAACTGCTGACCTTGAGGTTAGCAGCCCAATTCGTAACCACTACGCTACCAGAGGTCCTTATAGGAAGGCAGAATAATCAAGTCCTTCCTGATATGACTCCAGCCTGCTTCCCATTCCCCTTCTCACAATTTGTTCAGCAAATATTTATTGCATATGCATTATGTGCTGGGCACAAGAAATGCAATAGCAAGCAAAGCCTTGGTCTTGATCCTCATAAAGTCTAGCCCTATTCCCAGCCCCTCTGTCCTCCAGTATGTCCCTCCTCCTCCCACTCCACACCTCAGTAAGGAGTCACCTTTTCCAGGAAGGCTTCTCTGACCAGGTCCCCTTCTCCTACCCTGCTGGATTAGAGGCCTCCACACCAGCTGTTTCTTGGAAACCCTACATGGCACTTAACAACAACAACAGCACCCTGGGCACATCTACTCTTGTACTGGAATTGCCCATTTCTGTAGCTGTCTCCCCCATAACATTGAAAGCTTTTCAGAGACAGAACCAAATTCCCAGGGCACGCAAAGCAGGCAATAAAACAAAAAAAGTGTTGAATCAGGCCTCACAGTAAAGAACACAAAAATGAGTCAGTCACACTCTCTAGTTCTTAAGGAAATTTTGCTCTCCCTAAAGCAGGTGTTCCCATAAGGAAAGTTCATATAACAGTCAGAAGACTTGGTCCCAATTTAGGGGTGTC